TTTTGAAACATGATGCATGTTTGTAAAGCATTCAATGTAAACATTGTAAAATCATATCATGTGAAATGAATATATATTAAATGTTGTTCCTTTTCTCTCTGTATCAGGCATTGACATTTCTTGGACTGGATGTTAGTGAGGAGAAGAGGAAGATGCTGAGGCATAGCCTGACTCCTGATCCACAAGGCACTGTGGCGTATGGAGGTGAGCCACATGTATGCTCAGATTTACACCATGAAACAAGCCATGCATGCATCCAGGTGTGTCAACGGCAGGGTAGAGATACGTGTGAACATGCTGTCAAATCATAGGCTGGTTGGGATTTCTACTGAGTTGCCTTTCAGTGTCACATTGCGTGGGCCTGATCTGTCTCTCTGAGACAAAGTGGGCAATCAAAGAGAAGTAGTCGTAATAAATGCTACTTTATTTCTTGACTTTCCCTGTTATTAAAAAAAACAAAAAACAATGTAGGGTGTATGGATTTAAAAAGAAGAGTCCCTGTATGTTTTTACTGGTGCACATATGAGATCAGCTGCCATGTTTATTTTTATGGGATTTCTCTACGTATCCCATCTTCCCTATACAGTACAGGCTGATTTAGTCACAGGTTTCTGTACTGAGTACCCATCCATGGAAGTCTGTATATGTTTTAAACTCTCTATTACCTGATAAAAAATGTCAATGGCGTTTTTAAAATACAGGAAGCCTCAGTCTTCAATTCCTTATTTGTTTTCCTCTCAATGAGGATCTGATTCAGTGAGAGGAAATTTATTGAAATGAACAAAAACTGCTGTTATCTCAATGTTGTGTGCTTTAGTGACGCATCCATCAGATCAAATCATTGGCAGATTTCCAATCAAGCTTTAAGCTCCGAAAACTGATGTTGGTTTATTATTAATGATGATATTCTCAGTAAATCTAAGAACAGCATCTGAACGTTTTCATTAGTTATTTATATTAGGATGATGCAACAGTTGGAAAGAAGTAACTAAAAACATGTTTTACTGTTAATTTAAAATGAAGACAACATTTTGGGGCTGCATGGTGGTGCAGTTTGTAGCAGTATTGTCATCTAGCAAGAAGGTTCTGGGTTCAATTGCTATTTCAGGGTTTTTCTTAATTGACTTTTTATGTTCTCCCCATGCTTTGTCAGGTAAGTGTTGTGCAATTTTTACCAGCAGATTATGAAAATATTAAATGAGTCTTTTACCAAAGGTTGGACTCCTGGATCGGCTGTAAGAGTCCAGTTATCTTTCAGTAATTTAGTGATCCAGGCTATGGCTATCAGCAGAATTATTAATCACCAACTGTAGCTTCACAGCTAATTGATGGTCTGACTCTTTAACTGATGTTTCATATTCCTTTATTTTAGAACGGTCATTGAAGGCACCATTTGAACTCACAGTAAGAGCTATTAGAAAAACCTAAATAAATAAAACTTCCTTTTCTTTTAGTCCAATGAACAACCGTTTGAGCTTAGCAGAGCGTAAATAAATACACAAACACATTCTGACCTATTAATAAGACAAACGAGTTAGATTAGCTACAAATAGACCGATATGATGCTAAAACTCAGTACCGCTAACACTCGTTACATACATATACGTACGTGACACAATCATCAAACTCAAGCTGGACACAATATAACATGAAAAATAACTACAACAAATCTTGTGCCCTTTATAGCCAGTTGCTAGTACTTTTAAGGAACCTTTGAATACCTTTACTGATTGACCTTCTGTCATAAGCTCCAAAAAAACAGAAGTCTAGAGTTCTCACCAAGAGCCTTTCAAAATAAAACGTAAATTACTTTGTCTAAATATAAAGAAAGACTGAGCTGACTTCAAGTCATTTTTAGAACACCAATAAAAAAAAAATAAAAACAAATCAAATGATATTCCAAAAAAGTAAAAAAAATAATAATAATAATAATAATAATAATAATAATTAAAAAAAAAAAAATCTACGGGACTTTGTTTCCAAGTTTGAAGATGCTTCAATTCCCATCCAGGGAGCTTTTTTCAATTCAAAATGTCAGAGATAGCATTTTTCACACTCATGCATTATTCCGAGGGCACCTTTCACAACCTAAATATTATGTTTGATTACATTAAAGATAATTTAAACCAACCAAAGGGAATTTTCTCTGTTTCTTTGAATTTTACCCAAACAAGGGTAGATATGACTCTGAGTGAAAAAGTCATTCACCGTATAAATAATCAGACGACCATGCGTTAAAACACTGGTACCTTAATTAGCTAATAATCCCTTTAACAGTATTATTGTATCTAATAGCTACAAAAACATCCCACACTACTGAAAATAAGCACAAGGTAATGAAAAGTTAATAAAAGGGGGAGAAAAGGAGTTTAAGAATCCATTCAGAGTCTCTGAGGAATTAGTCTATGTTTTAAGGCTTGGTGTACTAATGCATTTAGGAGAGTCTCTTAAATAGCAGCAGATAAATGTAAATAACTGAGACAGAGATCTTAAATGTAAACAGTGAAGCTTCATTTGATTTAACAGTGATTAATGAACAATGACTCACTGAGCAAAATGCCTAGATAGCACCAGGAAGTCAGGCTACGAGGCGTAGTCGAGCTAACAACAAGGGTCGTAAAACTTAAAAAATGGCCGCCGCCATGTACAGGTGCTAAAGTTAGGTAGCCTGGTGCTAACAATGCAAGCCAATCCAACTGTAGCAATGCAGATCCTTCAGACAAAAAAATAAATCTACAACCAGAAACAAAATCACTCAGTGGTGATCGTTAAGTCAGGCGCAGTCAACATTAGCATCAGTTCAGAACTCTTACTCAGAAACATCAGTAGTTGGATTTAAAAAGCTTCTTTCAGATAAAACACAACATATTTAAAATGATCTATTCTACATCTCCCCCAAGCAGAATACTCATTAAGCATTAGATGAAAAGAGGGGAAAAGGACCTTTAATGCTCAGGGGAAAAGAGGGGGACCATGTCTGGTTCCATTCGGTTTAAGCTGGTCGTACACTGAGCGATAATTTCAATCGTTGCACGCAGCTACGACTCAAACTGTAGGACGAAACCTCAGGGTTTAAAAGTTTACAGCTCACGGTGCATGTTCTCACACTGTGCGACCCGACGCTCTGATACAATCTACCTGCTTACACTGCATGTCAAAAAACCTCACGTCAGACTCAGCGCCAAGAGATGGCACTAATCAGACTTGTTAATCTGGAAGAAGAGGAACTCCCTTGTTGCACATGCGCAGTGATTGAGGCTCTTGTAAATCGGCTCGTAGCTCTGCTTGAACAGCAGGATTTGTCCACTAACACCTTACGTCGGCACACTGGGAGGTCGTGAGAGCAAATTGCCCTCGTTACCGTCCTATACTACACGACGCAGGACGCACGTTCAGGCTGAAAGTCGGCCAAATTTAAAAAATTCTCGCACGACTGGAGAATCGGCCCGAAAAGGGCAAAAAATTGTATAGTGTATGAGTACAGTGTTGCCTTTAGGAACCAAGTCCGCTCTCAGAGAGACTTGAATTATTCTGATGCTAAGCAACAGAGGCGGATCTGTAGGGCTTCATAGCCGCAGCTCAGACAGGCAGCAGCACAGCTAAAAACAGCAGGACAGTTTGGTGCTTCGAAGCGGCACCTCAGCAAAACAACAGTCAGGTCAGGGCTGTCCCGTGTGTGAAAGGTGGACCAGCTGAACAACCGAATAGTTCTTCTCATCTGCTTCAGCAGGCGGGTTTAAACTTGGTTTGACCTGCAGGAAGAAAGAAATTACATTCGATTCTCTCTGAGTCACAGACAGCATGCAATCTGGTATCACAGCGAGTGCAGACTCTTCTCCGCCACGGGATGGCTACATGATGCGGCTTCAGCCAAAGACTGGTGGGCCTTGCCTATCAGACCCGCAGGTCACAGGGCAAAGTGGAAGGGAAGTCAGCTGCTTAAATAATCCCTGCTGCAGGGAGGTGACGTCAGGGTCCCTATCGCTTCTTAGACAACAAATCTTCAAAAACAGATTTAAGTGACCAACACAGCTGAGTAAAGGCCTAATGTTTTACTCCAGTGCAAAACAAATTATATTGAAAAAACAAAAACAGAAATATAATCATAACCATTTTGATTTGCATCTCAGGGCAGAACAACAACAAGCTTGGACTGAAGTAAAACGGACTGATTACCTCTTTAGCTGCCATCAAGTTTGGTAAAGGCCTGCTAACGAGCCATTCATTAGATTCAGCTGCTGCAATGCCGTGCTAACTGCTCCCTAAGGCATGGGTTAAATAGAGAGCGATTTTTTATTTTATAACGTACGACCGCTGGGACAAATAAAGGTGATTAATATTATTCTCAGCCAAAAGTTCAGTGTTGCCAAGTGCTTGTAAGAAAACGGCTATTGGTTATCCTAAATGTCATTGAACGCTACATAAATAGCAGCTCTGCAGCTTCTTAAGGTTCTGAGCAACACTAAATATTTCTGTTTTCCATCCTTTAAGTAGGGTCCATTTAAAGGCATAAATATTAGAATTTTTAAAAATTTTTTAGTGAAGCATGAATATGAACCCATTTCCAAACGTATAAGCCATACGTGCAAAACAAGGAATAAACTTATAATAAAGGTTCTTTTAGTTGGATTACCTCCCCAGCCTTTTGAGGTGTATTATATTTCTGCTCTCAGACTTTGTGGAAGCTTCCCGGAATATCTTCCAGGAGGACCTAGAGGAGTTGGGATTAGGATCAGATCCCTTCACCTTCTCCTATCATGAAGCAGCCAGTTTGATGGACACATCAGCATTTCATTCTCCTGTAAGTTTCCATAAAAAGAGGTGCATGGATTAAGAATAAACAACAACTATTAAACATGCTCATAAAAAAACAGTTTCATGGTGCGTGGACATGACTGTGTTTGTTTCTGCAGACTTATGAGTCAGAGTGCAGCTACAGCAGTGAGGAGATGGAGCAGTTTCAGACTGAGGTGAAGCAACTGCAGACTCAGATGAAGCAGCTTAAGGTGAATTTGCTTTACCCTCAAAACCACCAACCGTCTGATGTTTGATTTAAGTATGTTTGAAAATTTGTTTCTGAAATCCTTTTTTTCTCTCACCAGCTTAACGGTGCTTAGATGCAATAAACAGTTAAAGGATTCACACCCGTCAAACTTTTGTAATTCTTTGTAAAACTATGAGTGGAAACTTTATGTAACAGACCAATGTTTAGTGATCTCTTACTTGAAGGTAAAACTCTGTTTTACTATCAAAAATAAATATTAAAATATTCTTTGCTTAATTGGATAAGATGAAATTGATGCAAACAAATCTAGTAAAATATTCCATCTGTGTGCCATTGGTGCATATTTGTAGTTGTTTTGTTTCTTGCTGTAGTGATTTATTAGCATCACAAAGACCAAAGAACCAAGCAGTCAGGGTGAAAGTATCATCTTCCAGAGCTTTGTTTAATCATTTATCAAAACCTGGAGAGAGGATGGACTAACCAAGTCATGCCCTTCCAGCCAAACTAATAGGCTAAATCAGGAGAGAGTTAATAATAGAAACATTAGAAAAGGGATACAAGTTATTGATTAATTAATTCATTTTAAGTTTGTTTATCTAGTCAATAACAATTAATTGAAAACAGTAATTTTCCTAAAAAGTTTTGTTTAATTAACCCGGTGCAGACCCTGATTAATTTATGTTTCTGATCTAGCCACTGATCTCTAGTTATTCACTGGATTGCTGATAGTCCATTGGTAGTACAGGTTTGAATATAAGCCACCAGCTGCCATATTGGTACTCCCTACTTAGACCACTCGCAATGTAAAAAATGCATGTGCTGCAGCATATATATATATATATATATACACATGTTAATAAAAGGCTATATATATGCATATGTATATATGTGTCTCCCACGGAGACGCGCATTTCAACCGCGCGTCTCTGTGGGAGTGGGGAGTACCAGCTTGGCGGACGATGGCTTCACTTTTTTCGGGCACTCAGCAAATCAGTGAATAAATAGAGATCAGTGGCTCCAGCATGCCTCCCTCTGCTCTGAAAGTACCTTTCTTGCAAGTACTATTAAGAATAAATAGTGGCACCCTCTAGTGGACAATGATCACACTACGATACAGTGGTTAAAATCCTTTAATCCATCAAATTATCAATTAGTTGGATGGAATCAAATTGAATAAACCATTAAATCAGTAATCAATTATGTTTGCACCCCTAATTTTTGTGAATTTTTTTCAAAATGCACATTTCAAATAAAAGGCTGAAATAAGACATAGCCAATAGGCCTGTGGTGAGGAATTGCACTGATTCACAGCCCAGTGGACAAATCTTTAAAAAGCGCAAAATATCAGTCATGCAATTTGCAGATTTTACCCATATTTAAAAAATGGCAATAAGAAATCCATGAAAGAATGTACTATGTACTGTATAAATAAGCCACACACTAAAGCTTTGGTCCTATTTGCATAATGCAAAACCAACACAGCACATTACTTAAAAAAAAAAACAAGATCTGTACTATGAAAAGGTGGCAGCATCATGCTGTGGAGATGCTTTTCTTCAACAGAGAAAGATGGAGCTAAATCCAGAACAATCCTGGAAGATAATGTAGTTGAAGCTGTTTAGGACTTGAGACGGGGGTGGAGGCTGTAGTGCACAATGCCCTGGCCACCCCACTCACCAATGTAAATTGTAGTAGCATAAGTTTAGGATTTCATCCCATTATGCACAGCCAGCAACGTAACATTAAAAATCACACAATAAACGAGATATGAGTAGGTCTTTATGATTTCTACAGGTAGGTTTATTACAACGGTAGATTCCAACCCTGAAATTATGGCTTTTAGTGTCAGTGTGGGCCCCATCTGCCCCCCCCCCAAATGTAAATTTGTCCTGTTCCATTGGTAAAATATGTCTTTTACCTTCTAAATTCAAGAACAAATGCACTTATTTTAAGAAATAAGGACTTATCTAGATTTAGATTTTTTCCAGCGTACAAAGTGTTTGTACAGGAGCACTGGATATAAAATCAGACTGAATTTCACTGATTTGTCTTGAATAAATAACTTTCTTTCTTTACCTCCCAGTTTATAGTAAAGCTCTACTGCAGTGGGTCCCAGCCTGCTCTTTCAGGCCTAGCCTTAACTGTTTTAGCCTAAATGAATGGAGGGAAACTCCTGTTTCAGAGGGAAAAGAAGAACATTGGTGTACTGATTTGCTTCTTTTCTCGACAGGTAATCCTAAAAGACATGGAACAAAGCAAAAAAGGTCTAGAGGAGGAGCTGCAGAAGACCTCAGAGGTGAGACAGCAGATAAGAAACTTCATATACTTCCAAACTTATTAGTCCGTCTAGTTTCCCCTCAAAAAAATATTGAAAAGACCTTAGAATTAAAGGATACAACACTAACATCTAGCACATTAACACTATTTGAAGCAAAAGAGAAAGGGATGGGTCTACTCAGTAATAGAGAAAAAAAGGGAAAGTGAGCATCCTTCCTGCCTGCAAAGGCTACTGGGATCATGGAGAGAAAAGTATTCCCATCCCCCAACGCTGTAATAACCAACCAAGTCAACATGTTAATCCTTCTGTTCATATTAAGAAGACAAAGAGCATTCATCAACTCAACTTTATTTATAAAGGCCTTTAAAACAACCACAGCTGACAAAGTGCTGTACATATCAGTTACAATTGTATATAAAAACCATAAAAGTTTAAAAGAATTAAAAATATGCTATAAAATTTATTAATTAAAACAAATAAAACCAAATAAAAAACTATATACCTAACCATAATAGTAAAACATAGTTTCATGATGTGTTAAAAGCCAAAAAAATAAATAAAAGATTTTAAGACAGGTTTTAAAAATAGACAGACTCTGAGATTCCAGGAGCAGCAGGTCAAAAGTACAGCACTAACACCTGACCTCTTTGTTGTTGTATAAAGAAATAATCGAAAGGAAGTCTTTGAAGCTAATCAGAATAAGAAAGTGTAATTATTTTTTATAACATGCTGAGATTGTGACGAGGTAATCAAACTAGAATTATTTGTGAATTATAGTTCACATTGTGTTTGCAACCTGAATATGGATGTAATTATTGATACTTTGATTACTAAGCCTGGAGGCCAGGGTGTAGGTGACAGAGTACAAGTAAGACAGCGTTTAAGCCGGGCACACACTGTGCGATATTTTCAATCGTTGTATGTAGCTAAAGCTCACACTGTACGACCAAACCCTGTGGTTTTGAAACCATAAAAAAGAAAAGGCAACGACATATTCTGACATAGACATGGCTGAGCAAACGTGGCTACTACAGTCTCTTAATTTTACAGCAAGAACTCCATTTCACTTATTGCACCCCCGCCATGCTTCTGTATTTTTGTCTGAAAGGAAGAAGAAGAAGAATCCTTGTTTGCCCACTGAGCGATTTGCCAACAACCACCTACCGACGGCCGACTGAATTTCAAACATGTTTGATTTTCTCCCAACCTTACGATTTCCTGATCGGGAGGTGGTTGTGAGAGGCTGGTCAACCCTTGTTACGCCCTGTACACTACATACCGCACGATCAGGCTGAAAGTCGGCCCGATTGAAAAATTCTCGCACGGCCGGAGAATTGACCCAAAAAGGGCAAAAAAACTCGTACAGTGGATGCCCAGCTTTAGGAAATATTGGGTGCAGAGCAACTCTGACCCATTATTAGTGCTCATCCTCCTCTGAACTTGACCAACCCATGCTACATACATGCTCCACAGCCTCCTCTGAACCATGAAGTCTGTTTTGCAAACAAACCTCTCAGGGTTTAAGCAAGAACAGCGTCTTATTGGGGCCAATAAAGCCAATAAGAATCTTTTAAGGCTGGAGATATTCTCTGGCATCTTATTGGCTGAGAAAAGGTTCCCACAGTCACAATGCACATGAAGTGGAGACATAAGAAGAGCTGTGTCCTGCTACACTTTTATTAGTTTCTCCGTCGTAAGGGCCAAGTAGGACGAAAACAGGAAATTCTGGTCCATTTTTTGTGATTTCAATAAGCTAAGCCCATAGTGTCCTTCTT